TTTTATTTTTTGAGCAAGTATTTGGCATTCGGCTTTAAGTGCCAGCTGCCACTAACTTTGCTGAATGCCTGGCGCTCGGCTTGAACGCCTCTTGCCACTTGGCTTTATTTTTATTTTTTAAGCAAGTGTTTGGCGTTCGGCTTTAAGTGCCAGCTGCCACTAACTTTGCTGAATAGGAAGAGTGTCAATTAATTTTTGACAAAGAAGAGACTTTTTATAAAATATGGGAATTTCATACACTTGCAAGTATGCAATTTAAAGTGTGCGTATTACTTGAAATTAAACTCTACTTCTACTGGTAGTACCTTTTCAGAGACGTAGCATTCCATGGCTTATTGACCACCCTTCCTGCCATAGTTTCTAGGACGTACACCCCCTTCCCTATGACCTCTGCTATTCTATATGGACCTTCCCATGGGGAGAACATCTTTTTGACTATTCCCACCTTCCTTTTCAGAACCAGATCGCCAAGAGCGAAGTCTCTGTGCCTCACCTTCTTGTTATGGCTATTCACAAGCGTCTGTTGATAAGAGGCAAGCCTTACTGCAGCCGCATCCTTTTTTTCCTCCAGCAAATCGAGATTAAACCTCAGCATTCTATCATTCTGCTCTTGATCCCACGCCAAGCTCCTTACAGTTGGAACCAAGTGCTCGACTGGTATCACCGCCTAGGTGCCGTAGGCCATAGCGAATGGGCTCTCTCTAGTCGACCGTCTTGGGGTTGTTCTGTAAGCCCACAAGACGTTCGGAAGCTCATCTAACCATTTTCCTTTTTCATTCTCTAGCTTTTTCTCAAACAAATATTGTCCTGTTTGTGATTTCGGCTTAACCATTAGCCTGGGGAAGACTGACTGCTGCTAATTTCTGGTTGATTCCATATTCATCCAGCAGTTCTTTCACTTGCTTGTTATCGAGGTTGGTTCCATTGTCCATCACGATTGACCTTGGTACGTCAAAACGACAGATAATATTATTCTAGATGAAACATCTTACTTGAGTTTGGGTGACACTAGGGTACGGCTCTGCTTCTACCCATTTGGTGAAGTAATCAGTTGCTAGCAGAATGTACTTATTCTGCGATCTTGCAGTCGGCAAAGGGCCAACCACGTCCATCCCCCACTGCGCGAAAGGCCATGGGGTGGCCATTACATGCAGGTCTTTAGGTGGTTGATGTATCAATGACCTGAACCTCTGGCATTTATCGCATCTTCTAGAGAATTCTTCTGCATCTCGTGCCATGTTTGGCCAGAAGTACCCCTGTGTCATTGCTTTGTGTGCTAAAGATCTTCCTCCTGAATGATTTCCGCATACTCCCTCGTGAATGGTTCGCATAATCTGTCTAGCTTCTGTTGGGGTAACACACTTCAAATATGGACCCGAGAAGGAAAGTCTATACAACTGATCACGCACAATGGCATACTTTGCCGCGTTGGACCTAATTTTTCTTGCCTCGTTGATCGGTTGATCAATTATACATCAACCTTCGCAATAGCACGAATCATTGTAAAATAGGGCTATTGGTCGGGTAAGTCGAACCACTGGGACTGCGCTAGTCTAATACAACCTAAATGTCTAGAATCATTCTTAGAATGATGAAAGGTTTATAGAGGTTTTGTTGGATGTCACTTAAGCTAGGAAATTAAAAGTGCATAAAGCAATAAATTGCAATGAAATTGAAGAAGTGAGATACAAGTAGAAACGACTAGGGAGATGAATCCACACTACTCCCTAAGTACATGCTAGATTAGGTCTACATTTGGGGATAAATAGCATATATGCAATGGTCAAGAAATATGAAGCAACTTCGTTGCTTAATAATCATCAAGAAGTTCACTTAATCAAAACAAGAATGATCCATCAAAAGCTACCATAGTTGAACTACTTAAACTAAGGTGTAGAATCAAATACACTATCTCAAGCAAAAGACCATCAAGCTTTCAATCAAATGGTGAAGCACATGAAGGCAGGAATCAAGTATAAACCATCAAAGGAGGTACCTAAGCAATGGAATATCAAGTTTCAAAATCAACATGCCTTGAAAAACATTCATAGTCTATATTTTCATTGTCACTATGAAAATAAAAGCAATAAGATTGATCCAAGAATCATCAAAGATATGACAATGAACTTACATCAACCATTTACACATTAAAATTCATTACAAGAAGGAATATGCTCTTAGACTATGAAACTTCCACACATTATACATTATAGTCCCCAAAAGTATAACCTAATCTAGAACATGATCAAAAGAGGAGGCTTCATCACCTCCCTAGATGGAGGTTTAGCTCTCCATTGATACAAAAATGGAAGAAGAAGAAGAAGAATACCACTTCATTTTCGAGCTCTACTGTAGCACTCAAGAACACTCTCCTCCTTGCTCTCTTCTCTCCCCTCTATCTTGCCAAAATTCAAGGATGGTAAATGTGTGGCCTTTGGTAGCCTTTTATTCTCCAACAAAACCCTCTCTCTCCTCCAAGGAACACCTCCAACCACTTCATAAAGAAGGAAGATGGCATTGAGAAAACCAATGTGCAAGTGGCTGAAATTGAGCCATTTCCGAGTGCAATCTGCCTGATTTTCGAGCACTCGAAAAGTGGTCTCGAACACTCTAAATTAGTGCAATGTGCAACATGCTCTTCTTGCTCAGCGCTAACCTACTTTGGTAAAACTGCTATAACTGTGTGCCCTGAACTCCGAATGATGATCTGTTTGAAGATTTGGAGAGCCGATTCAGTGCTTTAAAAACTTCATGTTTTGATGAAGACCCAATTCTCAAGTCTGGTTGGTCGAAAATGGGGAGAAAGGCAGTACTTCAGTGCTGCCAGGCAGTTCTGCGCACCTCTGTTAAGAAGATCGTAACTCTCTGCTCCGAACTCCGAATGATGAACCGCTTGAAGATTTGGAAAGCTGATTCAGAGATATAAATCTTTCATGTTATGATAGAAGTCCAGTTCTTGAGTTTGCTAGGTCAATAATGGCGACAAAAGTTAGGATCACTGCTGCCAGAAATTCAGAAATGGCACCCTTTTTGTTCAAAATTCCACAAGGCATCATTTTTGCTTCCTTTTTGCACTTTAACCTGAAAATGCATAAAAACATGCAAATGGAGTTAATCTACATAAAATAATCAATTAATGGACTTTGTTAATGTAATTTAGGGCGCTTGAATATACAGTATTCAGCGCTTATCACTCGTCCTTTTGCTCGGGGAGTGCACCATTACGTATGAAAGCCATGATTTGATCAATCCAGCTCGGCTCATATGGTATAACATTAATATGTTGAGCGCTCGGATTAGGCAGCTCATCAAAAATGGAAGGTTGGATCAGTACGTCAACCGGGATGACCCTAGCCAAAGTCTCTCCAGAACTGGATGCACTACAAGCCAAGCGGTCGGCATCTTCGTTATACTCTCTCGGCAATTGGATGAACCTGATCTGATCAAAGCCTTTCGCCTCACGCAGAACCGCAGTTCGGTATGCTTCCATGGTCTTATCCTTGGCCCCATATTCCCCATTGACTTGCCGAATGACTAGTTGTGAATCACTATAAGCAATCAGATTCTTGATCTTCAGTTCTTTAGCCAACTTCAACCCAGCTATCAACGCCTCGTATTCTGCCTTATTGTTGGTTGCATTGAACTCAAGTCTTATCATTTGGCTCAGCGTAATTCCTTCTGGTGTTCGCAATTGGATTCCAATCCCTGCCCCCATTTGATTCGAGGAGCCGCCCACGAAGAGCTTCCACAAAGAACAATTATAATCCTCTACCAAATCTTCAGCATTACATTCAAGTAGGAAATCCACCATCGCTTGACCTTTGATTGCCGTCCTGGGCTTGTATGCAATATCAAATGAACTCAATTCAATGGGCCACTTAGTCATTCTCCCCGATAGGTCCGGTTTGTGCAGGATCATTCTCAAAGGGAAAGTTGTTAAAATGACGATCGGATGAGATTCAAAATAATGTCTAAGCTTCCTTTTTGCGTTGACCAGCGACAAGATCATTCGTTCGGCCCTGGAGTACCTTCTTTCCGGCTCAGACATTGTTTTGCTAACATAAAACACCGGGAACTGCTTTCCTTCTTTGCAACGGATCAGAACGGCACTAGTCGCTATACTGGATACCCCAAGATACAGAAAGAGCTTCTCATTTGGCTCGGGAGCAGACAGAACCGGAGGATTACGCATGTATTCCTTCAGGCTGGTTAGCGCCTGTCGTTGCTCATCCCCCCAGGTTTGCCTTCCGTGCCCTCGAATTGTATCAAAGAAAGGTTTACAGCGGTCCGAAAGCTTGGAAATAAATCGGCTCGGTGCAGCTATCCGACCTGTGAGTGCTTACACCTCCTTAATTATCTTTGGCTCTGTATTTCTGATCAGGGCTTCTGCCTGCGCTGGGCTGGCCTCAATTCCTCTATGATTGACCACATGTCCTAGAAATTGACCGGAGCTTACGCCGAATGAGCATTTGGCCAGATTAAGCTTCATCCTATATTGGCGCAACACATCGAACACATCCTGCAGGTGCGCTAAATGATCGCTCTTCTTCTTACTCTTGACCACCATATCATCAATATAAGCCTCGACAGTGCTTCTTATTTGGCCCTTAAAAATCTTGCTGATCAGCCTCTGATAAGTAGCTCCAGCGTTTTTTAATCCGAACGGCATGACTTTGTAGCAATAAGTCCCTCGTTCAGTAACAAACGAAGTTTTCTCTTCGTCAACTAGATCCATGGGAATTTGATTATAACCGAAATAAGCATCCAGGAAGGTTAACTGCTCATATCCTGTGGTGGCATCTACCATTTGATCAATCCTTGGCAATGGGAAACTATCCTTTGGGCAAGTTTTATTCAGATTAGTGAAGTCGATACACACTATCCACTTCCCATTCTTCTTCTGCACTACAACAACATTGGAGAGCCAGGCCGGGGTACTGAACTTCTCTGATGAATCCGGCTTCAAACAGCCGATCAACCTCCTCAGCTATAATCTGATTTCATTCTGGAGCAAATCTTCTCTGCTTCTGCTTCACTGGCTTTGCATTCAGATCTACATTGAGAGAATGACAGGATACAACAGGATTTATCCCTGGCATATCTGAATGGCTCCATGCGAATACATCTATATTCTGAGTCAAAAAATCAGTCAACTCTAGTTTTTCTTCTTCAGTAAGTTTAGTTCCCACCCTTGTTGTTTGGTCCGGTTTCTCATGGTTAATCTTCACTTCATAAAGGGGTTCTGTGGTCAGAACTGATGGCACCTCCTCCCTATCTTTGCTGGGAGGAGGGTTCTGTAATTGCTATTTTGGACTGGCAGAACGGATGGGATTTTTTCCTTTTCTAGCAGATTTCAAAGTTACTGAATAACATTCTTTAGCTGCAACCTGGTCCCTGTGTATGTCTATCACCTTGGTCCCATCTGGACCCAAACATCGCATCACTTGACGTAAGGTTGATAGGACGCCCTGAACTCTGTGAATCCATCCTCTGCCCATCAAGAGGTTGTAGGATGGATGAATTTCCACGACCACAAAACTTTCGGTCAAAACTCGCTTAGCAGCTTGTACTGTCAATTCCACAATTCCAATGGGTTCCACTTGCTTCCCATCAAATCCGAGCAACGGATTTCCTGTGGGTTTGAGTTTTTCGGGTTCAATCTCCAGTCGGTCGAACGTCACCCTGGGTATGACATTCGCACTACTTCTTGGATCAATCAGAACTCTTCGAACTAGGCATTCTGCAACTGTCAGACTGACGACTAATGGATCTTCATGAGGAATCTGAACGCGTAGCAGGTCCGTTTTATCAAACTTTATCGATGTGGACGCGTTCTGCTGGTGCAAAGCGTGCACACTGCCAATCCTTCTTTTCAACTGGGACTGGCGTAACCTCATTCTGAGCAACTCTTCTGACTCCGTCGTTTGTTCAGGCTGACCACGAATTGCATTTATAATCCGGACAGGCTGAGAGTTGTGTTGGTTCGGCCTCTGGTTCCGCTTGATCTGCTCAGTCGGGCGGTTCTGCTCTTGCGCCAGACCTTGAACATAGCTTGCAAATCCCCCCTTTGCGATTAGCATCTCTACCTGCCTCCTTAGGTTCCTGCATTTGTTAGTCTGATGTCCAAAATCACTATGGAAAGCACAATGTTTAGTTTGATCCCTATGTTCAAGAGGTTGCCTGATTGGCAGAGGAGGATGAAACTTATCTTTGTTCTCTTGGTATACCCTCGCTAAGGTGACTCTGAGTGGAGTGACTGATTCCTCCTCCCTGGGCCTCTTTTCCGCCTTCCATGAGGGGTGACGTTGCGGCTGAGCTTGTTTTTGCCGGATCTTGGCTTTGGACTTCTCTTCCGTCGAAATAATTGACGTCTTCCTCGAATTAGCTGCCTCTTCCTCCTCAAGACGAACAAAACCGTCAACTCTCTCGTTCAGCTCGTCCATGGTCTTTGGCGTATTAACCACCAAGCTAGTGTGGAATGGCATCCCCCGGTTCATTGCGAGTTTAAATGCTTGGACTGCTGTGGACGGATGACACTTCATTACCATGCTTTTAACGAGGTTGAACCGGGTGAGAAAAGCTTGGAGCCGTTCATCCTTATGCTGCTTCATTGTGAAAAGGCTTAATACATCCTTAGCCGGACGTTTATTCCCGTAGTACTGGCTTATGAACTTATCGCATAAGTCCTGGAAACTGGCAATTGAGCCCTGAGCCAAATTCTTGAACCAATTGAGAGCTGGTCCAGCCAAGCTCGTAGGGAAGCATTTTGCACATCAAAGGATCATTATTAGTATTCAAAGCCATTTTCAACTGAATATGGTAGATGTGATCGACCGGATCGGTTGTTTCGTCAAACAGAATGAAAACCGGCATGGAGAACTTCTTCGGATTCGGCGCGTTCAGAATTTTATCAGTGAACGGAGATGCAACCGTCCTTGCTGATGAGCGCAATGCTTCGTTTTCCCTTGAAAATCGTGACGGAAACCCTCGATCGGCAGATTTCCTTTCTGAACTGTGGTAATCAACTGTTGCTAATGAAGGTCGGTAAGGCGGATCTAACGACCTGTCCTCCGTAAACTCACTTTGCCACAGTGACGTAACCCTATGCTCATATGCCGGTGCTTCCTCCCTCATAATCCGTTCATGATGCGGTTCTAGATGAATAGATCCTTCTCGATCCTCTACTCGACGAACATTCGGAGGCAGATCACCGATTATAACTTCATCACGACGTGGATCAACACGATTGACACCTTCTGGATCACCTTGACGATCAGCTTGGGACGGTAAAGCTCCCTCTCCTTCAGGAGGTGGCCTCGAAATTGCAGGAGCCTCACGACGCTCCATTCTAGCTCGTAACTCTGCATTTTCTTTCCTCAAAGCGTCGATCATGTTCATCAGCTCATCGAGCTTCGTCTGCTGGCCGTTCTCCAAAGGATTTGAGTTCGCCTCTCCGATCATCATTCCAGATCGAAGCAAAGTCATCAACTGCAGATTTCTTGACCAGATCGGAGTTCCGCTAACGCACGCACACTAGATCTGAACTCACACTTGCTGAATTCAGTCCGCTACTGGCCGGATTCAGTAATCACAACAGATCGCAATTGTGTAGTTCGCCGGATCAAGCACAGATCTGATCTGCTTGGATTGGACGCCAACTTCTTGAAATCAACCGGAGCTTGGACTCATCGAGACAAATCGTATTATCACCAATGTTGATTCAGCTTTCGCAGATTAATCGTCTTCCTTGCAGAGTGTTTTGAATTGATTCGATCTGGAACAACATCAATCAATCCTTCCTGTTCTTCCCACAGACGGTGCCAATTGAAAGTACAAAGAATTTCCCCCAATTACAGAGAGAGAATTTCTTCACTCCCAATGCTTTCTAACCTCTTTTCCTTCTCGATTTCCCTTATTTATAGACGGTTACAACCTCCTCTGGCCTGGGCCTTATCTGCTCCCTTTTGCCTGGACTTAACTTTTCTCATTTTAATATGGGCTTCTGTAATGACTTTATAGACCTGGGCCCATCCTGCGCGAACTTGCTCCATCCTGTTTATCCATACCCGACCCGTCCTTTGCAATACGGATCATACCAAGCCCGGGTCATTTTGGTGTCCTCATATGCCGATATGGGTTTTGATATAGGTACTAGGTTTTGAACTTTTGATTCTAGCAGACAGATAGATAAATTGAAATATATGGGTTTTGAACTTCTGATTCTTGTTGATTTTGTAGTTGCGCAGAGAGAGAGAGAAAGAGCAATTTCAGAGTTAGAGAATGAGAATAGAGATGGAGGATATTAGTGGAGGCTGAAATGATTTGCCCTAAAAATATATATATTTTTAATAACAATATAATTAAATATATATAATATACACATATATATAAATTTTCGAAAAAAAAAAAAATTTAAAAATTAACCCGTCAGCCCGACCTAACCCGGCCGAAAATATTCGATCCGTGTTATGACCCAACCCATGTTAAGTACAATTCGGGTTGGCCCAACCCAACCCGATTCGGGTTGAGGTTGGGTTCGGGTTGGGCCAGCCCAACTTGCAGCCCTACTACCCACATACCTCAACCTCTACTTTGACTCCACTCATGGATGTCAACCCTTTACCTACAAACCTGAACCTTCACTTCAACACTCTCTCTCACCACACACACTCCACGCCATTGAAGCCTCTCTTCCGAGCACAACAGAGGCTCTCTTCCTCTTCACATCATATGACTCTCACCCTTCATGGTTTGAAAACCCTCGAAAAAAGTTTTGAATCTCATCTTTATCCTTTTCTGACACTGTTACGAATTGCTCGCTTAATCTAATTTTTTATTTTTTTGATTTTATGTTAAAATCCATTTGGATTTGTTTTTTTTGGGTAAGTCAATAAATAGATAGAAGGTAGAATGTACAACAGGAGGGCAAAGGCCAACAAATATGAAGGCAAAACAAGGCTAAACAAGAGCCTAACTCAAAACCAACTAAAACTCGAACCCCATCCAAACCTATATAACCATTGCTACCAAACTAGCAACAACAGAAACCATGGAGAAGAAGGGGGAAGAACACAGCTACTAGATCACAGAGCTCGGAAGGCTCCAATCATCAACAACAGACCTTGAGATAGCACAATCAGAGAACAAAATGGTGGAGAGCTTGCATCGGATACAATTTTCAATCTCTTTGCAAATCTTCATTTCAGTTAGACGCTTCCTTGAGAAGGTTCGGTTGTTTCTTTCTCTCCAAACAGAGTAAATAATTGCTGCAAAGCACATCTTGTAAGCTATACCTTTGCTAGACTTTGAATTGGGACTCCATAAGTTAGCAATCCAATCCACAATGCCCACAAGACTCTGTTATCGAGAGTAAATGCCACACTTGTTCTAGAAATAGGTTTATTAGATCCTGACATGAATGTTCACTTATTCAGAGGATGTTTCTGAATTACCAACCACGATCCCTTTGCGTAGAACCACGAAGGTTCGAGGGAAGAATGGGAGAGATCATTACAATCTTGCTTAAAGACCCAATCCCCTCTAGATGACGTAATCGCCTATTTTTGTAGGAACGATTCTAGACATTGTGTAGTCAGGGATACATAGGTAGTAACAATGATCCTAAGTCGGTGGTACATCTAAAATGCGCCTGAATCATGGTAAACTTGTTAGTGCAAAAATACTATCCCCGAAGAGGAAAGCATAAGAAAATTTGCATAAAGGAGTTGGCACTACTAGAGAGGCCACTCTAAAGAGAACAACAAAATGAAAAGGTACATAGAGAATTGGCACCCTTGAAAATGCCACTCTCATAAATAGAGCAACAAAATGATTGATCAATCTAAATTTTCTAAACAAATAGCTCCTAATGGGGCACATGCCCTTCATGAGGCCTAGGTACCTAAACATGATGAACTAATAGCTCTTAATGAGACAAATACCCTTGAAGAGGCATATGTACCTAACAATGATGGGATCTCAATAAATTATAGTGAAAAGAAAAATATTGTCGACAATATATATTTTTAATTATAGTTGCTCTCGATATTATAACAATGATAAGGATCCTGAATGTCAAATCGATGTAAAATGATTGGCCAAAATGAAAAGAAATAATACAGGCATAATTTAAAAATACTTGGACCTATAGTCCAGACACTTAAAGGTAATAGTAATAAGCCTGTAAATGAATATTTGTACTATAATGAAATGAGGGAAATTAAATTATAAGATACAAAGCATGACTGGTAGTACAAAGTTTCTCTCAAATACCTGGTATTGACATTAGGAGACATACTCTCCTATAATGGATTTAATCACATTTTTATTTTTACTTTGACAAACTAAGTTAATTATCTTTCTGAATCCACATAAAGCTTGATCACAAACAAGATACTGATTAACTTGTAGCAACACTGTTATATCAAGGCGATCTATGAAGCAAACAATAAATTACAACTTCTTTAAGTCACTTAAAGATACTCGCAATTCATGAAGCAAGCTGGGAGTACGTGTAGTTGATGTCTATAGTAAAATAATTGAGAAACTGATGCATGATATTGAAACTCAAAGATTTTCCATGCTAAAGTAATGCAACAAATATGCATATAAAGGGGAGCAATTGATTAGAAAGGTATTGGCATAATGTACTATTTTTCCTTTGCTCAGGTTTTGTCCCACTGTGTTTTGCTGACAAGGTTTTAATGAGGCAGTTTTAACCTATGTCATACCATTTTCACATACACAAGAATATTGTACTATTTTTCTTTCACTAAATTTTTATCCCACTGATTTTTTTTTTTCTAGCAAAGTTTTAACGGAGCAATTTCTTATTGCGTATAATGGATTTCAAGGAGGAGTGTTATACAGTATAAGGTCCATCATATTGTTTACTCCCAGCAAGTCATATGTAAAAGTGATAACAACTTGTGCCAAGGCGATGAGAGTTGTGATAGGCCCAGTGACATGGATGAATTGTATAGGCGTAGTGACGTGGATGAATTCTATTAGCCATCTGATGTTTATGTTCTTTATTGGTACACTGATGTGGTATGATATATGATGCAAGAATTGCTTGGATATTGTAATCTGCATTCTCTCTAATAATAAAACTTCCTTTTGGGTGGTCTCTATATACATATATATATATTTTTTGATAGGTCACTCATCATATATTTTATATATTTCTTTATTTATATATTCATAACACAAACCACATTTTTTAAATTTGATTATAACACTTTGTTTCCCTATCCTATCCGTAGAAGTAAGGTGAGCAACACTAAAGTGAAAACTCTCTTATCTAGTAGTTTGCTAAGGATCTGTTTACTAACAGGAATAATTTCTGTTTTCTACTTTTAATTCCTAAAAATGTAAAGTAAAAGTACAAATCATGTTTTTTAATATAATTTTACCTTCCAACGGTTAGAAAGTACTTTCACGTTAATGCATTAGCTTTGAGTTTAGAGGAGCCCCAAGTGTCTAGAGTAACCCCACCAAACCAGCTAAGCTCAGGATTTTCAACTTCTTCCCTAATTCCTGCAAAAAAAAATATTATATTTTGTCCTTTTTCAGCAACGAACCAGACGTGGAAGCAATCAAGTCCAACGCTAGGATAACCATAGAAGTAGATTGAAAGTCCACAGTAGAAAACAAAAGCAGACAGCAGCGTACTATGTAGATATACATATATACACACACATACATACATATATGCTTTTTACATAAAGTATAGAGTTAGTGCAAAAAACCCCACTCAATTATTACCTTTTTACAAATAACCTCCTTGAACTAAAGACCGGTATAAGATAATTAAGGACAAATATATCACAAAAAACTATTTTACCCCTTCTTATTTAATTTGTCATTTCTTATTAAATTATTTTTATTATATTTTCTCTTATTTAAATATTAATAATACCAGTTACTTTAATTTTATAATTAGTATCAATTTATCATAAAAATTATAAAAAATAAATAAATTTGTAACTACCATTTTCTAAAATGATTAACTTATTATAATAAAATTATTATGCTCATTTTAAAAAAATTTAGTGTAAAAAATACCTTCTTTTTCATGCAATATTATAAAAAATTAATAAATGACGTAAATAAAAAATATCTTCTTTTTATGCAGTACATTCATGAAAATTAAAAAATTACTTAATTTGTTTCAAATTTTCTAATTAAATTTTTTTATTTAAATAATTAATTTCAAGAATTAAAGGCAAACTTATGCAAATTTAATGGAGAATATTTTATTAAATTAGTATGATTTTTTTTCATCATTTATTTCAACAAGAAAACTAGATCAAGTGTAATTCAATAAAAAAGGGTACTATGGTCATTAAATGAAAAATAGGCCAAGCAATGGAGCATTTTGCAACTAAATGTGATAGTTTAGGGAGTTTTATGCACAAAAAATACTTCAGGGGGTTATTTGCAAATTTGGACATAATTCATGAGGGTTTTTTACACTTTACCCCTAAAGTATATACATAAAATATACAGTATGATGCGACAAGAGCTATATTTTTCCATTACGTAAGAAAAGAATGGTTGGCACATCAACATCACCAGTGGTGGGAATAAGTTTCCAATCTCAGAAAACCAAAGTTGCATCTTGGCAAAGCGAAACTGAGGCTGGAGTTGATACCATCAAACAGTACCCCTGTTTTTCAGTTGTTGTGCCTCCGACATACATCAGGCGGTGATTTTAAGTGGTCAGAAACACAAACATACAAATGAGTAGTTTCGCAACACCAAAATTAATGTAGTATCTAATCTGTACAGATACAATGTTGATTTTTGCGATAAAAAAACTCGTAAAAATGTACACAATTACAAAATCCAAACCAATTTATTAAAAAAAAAAAAAAAAAATAGAAGTACAATTAAACGTGCAGGCTGCCTGGAGAAGGTTCATCTGTGATCACGAACAACTCCACAGAACGGAATGGCAGTATGAATGTCATATAATAACGGTATCCACTGATAACTTGCACATGGGTGTTTTCCCTTCTCAAGCAGGCAATGGTTCCTCCATGACTGCGATTTTAAAAATAAAAATATTAAGGTAAAGCATTTTAGGTTAAACTAAGCATATGGATTATGAAAGTGTGTATGCGTGCGAGAGAGAGAGAGAGAGAGAGAGAGAGAGAGAGAGAGAGAGAGACCTTTTGTCCTACTAGAAACTCCAGCTGAAACATCTTGAGCATCCTCAGCAATTACCTTGGAAGCAACAGGTGCTTTTGCTGGTACGTCAGGTAGGTCCAACTTCATCTCATGTTCTTCTGGAGATTCCACTTGAGTAGGAACTTCTGGCATATCTTGGAGTGCGATCTATACAAACAAAGCAGAGTTTCTCCATTAGGTAACAAAACTGCATAAATAAAGGGTCACTGCTCATACAAACACCATATCCTGATAATAAGACGTTGAAAGCCAAACTAGAGTTCAAGCTAAACATAGAACATGAAAACAAACAGAAGAATTAGCAGTGTTAAAAAAGCTTTAGCAAGCTCGAGCTGCTATTCTACAGAGAAAAAAGTAGTTCCATTTCAACATAAATCTCCCATTTTCAATATAATTTGCCACAACAGATCCAAAATTCAATAATTAGCATGTTTTTTTCCAATGTTTTGGGTGTGATGCATCAGAGCAGGCTGCTGCCAAACAACAAACTACTCCTTGCTGATGATTCTGAGCTGGTTAAATGTTTGTCTAGTATGGAACCTGAGCTAAATGCCGCAAAGGTCAAAAGAGCCTTCTATGAGCTTAGAAGACTTAAAGACGCTGATTTTCAAGTCCATCAGCAAAAGAAACTTAAGAAACTGGACAAACTTGGCCAAGGTAGGAACCAAGGAAGGGTAGCAAGTTCTGCTGCAAACACCTCCAACAGCTGTTCCCACGCCACACATGAGCAAGGTGACGACAAACTCACTCTCAAATTTCAAATTTGAATCAAGTTCAAAAGTCCTCAAGTCAAATCACTTTCCCCACCAATCTAATCCCTAACCAAAGTATCACTAAATAGGCAATCAGGAAAGCAACTTTTTTCAGTCAAGTATATCCTCCTAGCAGACTTTCCCATGCTTTCCAACCAACCCAACCCTAGTCTCTCACCCCTACTTCATCCTTTTCTGATCATACCATCTAGCTAGGACTCAAACTTCGCCAACCAAATCCATTCTTCTATCAAATCAAAATCAACCAATCAAGCAGTTGAGTTTCATAGCAAGTGCTTTGGGCAGGCCATTGTTCACTAATGAGCTTACTGAGTCCAGAAAACGCATTTCCTTTGCTAGGATTTGTGTGGAAGTCAATGCTTCAAAGGAATTGATAGACTCACTCAAGCTTAAAAGTGGGGGAAAATGAGTTTATAACCATTAAAACACAGTACCAATGGAGGCCAGAGGTCTGCCATTCTTGCTAATGTTTTTGCCACTCAAAACAGAAATTGTCCCCTTAAGAAATCAGGTTTGGGTGGCAAACGGAAGACAACCACCCCTAACCTGACTCATGCTTATCATGTTGAAAATGAATGAACCATGGTTGATCCACAAAACAAAATCAGGAAAGGGCTTTCTATGACTCAACCAAATGTCTCCCCCATCAGTTTTAATCCTTCTACCATCCCCATCACTACCCAAACCCTAATCAATCCTACCAACTCTCCAGTTACTTCCCACAATGACACTTCCTTCCACCCATCGATCCCCCAATTCCTAGTGAATAACCAAACAAAATCCGAACCCATACCAGTCCTAAGCCCATTCCTCTAGAAAAAATGTCATCCCCTAAAACAATCACCCTAACAGATTCCACCAATTCCAAACTTGAAGTTATTCTTCCCCCATGCTCCCCATGGACATAGGAGAGATGTCCAGCTCATCTCATTCACCAAAAAAATTAGCATATTATCTGACACTGATGAGCATGAGTGTGGAATTTACATGGATGATAGAAATAACTGAGAGTCCGACTCGGGAAATCAATCAACATCTTCCAATCCCAGTGATGAAACACAGCATAAGCCAGGCAAAGAAAAGAACCCTACTCATAACTGTCAATCTGCCAACAATGCTCCGATGCCTAGAGCTAGGAAGAAGAAGAAAAAGAGGCCAAAAAAGCAGCAAAGCAGGCCAAGAGAGAAGCCTTTTCTAGCGTTTTTAGTGACATCCACAGCCCAGTTTAATCATATTTTTTTTTGGATGTTGGAATGTTAGGGGTCTTAACAACCCCTCTAAACAAAAAGATACCAGACAGTTCATCAAAGACCAGAGTCTTGATTTTGTAGGCTTCCTTGAAACTAAAATTAGAGAGAAAATGAAAAATCTGTCCATGAATGGGTTCTCTGGAACCCAGATAAATTAACCATTCAATGTCTCAAAAGCTCTGACCAACTCATTGATTGTTCTGTGGCTTACAAAGATCCCTTCATTTCAAATTTCCTGGTGACAATATGAATGTCTATGGAGCTAATTGTGCCTCGACTAGAAAACTCTATGGCAAAATATTTCCTACCTTTTTAATTCCATTAATTCCGCCCCTTGGGTTTTGTTAGTGGATTTCAAGGCCACTAGATTTCCTAATGAGAGGCATGGAGGGTCTGATCACTACTTCCTTGACCTGATGACAGGGGAGTTGGCGTCACTGAATGTCCAGGTAATTGCATAATGGAAGCCAATCTAGAAGACATTAGGCCATCTGATCTACTTTTAACCTGGTCAAACAAATGTCCTGGGGTTGATAATATATCTAGGAAACTGGATATGGTCATTGTTAGTAACCATTGGCTGTCTGTATTTCCAAACTCCTCTTGCAACTTCCTTCCTTCCCACACATCTAACCATAGCTCCAAGAGTGTCTCCTTTGGCTTGCAAACCACCCCCAACAAGATTATTCCCTTCAAATTCTTCAACTTCTACGGTGACCACCCTGAGTTTACGTCCACTGTCTCATCAATCTGGAACACTCAAAAGTCAAATCCCAGGTATTCCCATGTTTACGGTTGTGACCAAATTGAAAATGATAAAGGCTACTTTGAAAGCCCTCAATCATAAATCCTTTAGAAACATATCTGAGGCAGTCAAGTAAGCAAAAATTAAGCTTCACTATACTCGAATCCAGGCAACTCAAACCTGTGTCACAAAGAGAAGGAGCTTTCTAAAAAAATTTCTAGTTTGAGCAAAATTGAGTAACAACTCTACAAGCGGAAGACAAGGGTTCACTGGTTGGCACATGGTAACAAAAATACTAGATTTTTCCAGAACGCTATTCATAGCAGGCACAACAGAAGGTGCATCACTAGTATCACCTCTTGCGATGGATAAATAACTTATAATCCTTCTTAAATCAAGCGAGAATTCGTCTCCTACTTCTAGGAACTTCATTGGCAGAAACCCCCAACAACCATCCAGGGAAAAATGCTTTATCTCAAACATTTTGAAAACAATTCATGAGGATTGCATCAGCCAATTATGCTCTATTCCTCCTAATGAAGATATTAGAAGTTGCATCTTCTCCACGAAAGCAAACAAATCACCAGGCCAGTATGGATTTAATTCACTTTTTCATGGAAAAAAAAAAAACATGGGCATGACAAACCAATGGGAAGGAGGATAGGGGATAATATAATTTTAGCCCAAGAACTGTTAAAGGGGTACCATAGGGATTCTTCTCCTCTTAGGTGCACCCTAAAGGTTGACTTCAACAAATCACACCCTATGCTGGCCTTCTTTGCTTGACAATCCTTGAATTGAAGAATTTTCCCTCCCTTTTCATCATTTGGATAGCCACTTATTGCCAGCTTCCCTATCTCCATTAGAATTTTGTGGTTTCTTCAAAAGCGAGGGTCTTAGACAGCGGGATCCTATATCCTTATGTTTTTATGCTTGCAATGGACACTCTTTCAGCCATGAAAAACCATTTCACCACCCAAAACTCCTATTTTCATTTACCATTGAAAATGCAAATCCTTGAAAATCTAACATCTGTCATTTGCAGATGATATCCTCATGTTCTCTGATGGGGATTTTCATTCAGCCAATACCCTCAAAATTGCCCTTCACACCTTTTCATCCTACTTTGGCCTCATTCCTAATCCAAACAAAAGTCAACTCTTCTTCAATGGAGTTCCAAACCCAATCAAACAGTCCATTTCTAATTTGTTTGGGATTTCTCGTGGAAACCTACCCATTACCTTGGAACTTCCTTGATAGCTTCCTGACTCTCTCCTTCTGACTGCAAATCCCTTATTTACAAGATGCTAGGGAAAATCACTAGCTGGGGCAACAACATGCTCTCCTTTACAGGAAGATTACGACTGATCCATGCCTCTCTGCGGCATCCACACATTCTGAACCAACTTTATAATTCTTCCATCTAGCATCATCAACCAAATGAATCATATTTTAAAAACAAAAAAATAATAATAATCTGGTCAGGTCCTTTCATGACTAGTTACAAATCTAAAATTCCGTGGGACCTTGTTTGTAGAACCAATAATGAAGGACGTTTGGGTATCCCAGATCACCATCACTGGAACAGAATTGCGGGACCTTATTTTCAGATACAGCAAACATCTGGTTTCAATGGGCAAAAGTGCACCTAATTAGGAATAAAAGTTTCTGGTAACTTAATGTTCCTGGTTCTGGTGAAAAGTTCTTCAAGCTAGAGACACAGCCCACTTCTTCAGCACAAAGTTCATAATGGCAACACCACAATGGTAGTTTTTGATAACTGGCTTCCCTGTGGCCCTCTTTGTAAGGTAATAGCTCCTGATGCTAGGCTTGGCTTACATCAACAAACATGCCAAAGTTTCCCGCTTTTATTTAATGCAATGGTTCAATCACCTCATTTCAAAACATTCCTTTGCCTTTGATTAGCCATTCAAGAAAATCACCTCACCAAAGATAGCCTATCCCTGAACTTTCTCATTCAACCCAATCTTTGTAATTTTTGCCTTAAAGCATCTGAATCCCACCACCACATTTTCCTCAAGTGCCCATACACTTCAGCAATTTGGAATTCTCTAATAAACAAATGTGGGTTCTACTCAATCCCAAATAGTTGGCAAGATTATCTCATTTGGGCCTCATAACATTGGAAACACAAAATGGAATCTTCCAGGACTCATCCGGAAGCTCAGCTTGGCTAGCTTTGTCTATCATACGTGGAAAGAAGGAATGCAATGGTTTTCAACAATATATTTTCTCTACATTCAAAACCCAAATTTCTATTGTGGAGTCCATCCGATACCGCATGTCCTCAATCAAAAAACCTAATTGTCCCTTTGCGGAAGCCATTGCCAAATAATGGATCATTACCAGATTTTTGTTTGACCCTGTTGAGAAGAATTTTTTCTTCTCTGGTGCAGTTTGTTGATGTTTTCCCTCCTAAAGTCTAGCTCAGGTAGTTATTAGTTAGTTGTATCTTGCTTTTGGGTATTTCCAGGTTGAGTGCCACAACCATTTTCCTGCATAAAAATTCTATTGGCACAGACGAACATTAATCCTCCCATGAGATGAGACACAATATTGAACACAAAACGTTTTATAGCACTGATTGTTTATTTTATCAAATACACGCATACAGCCATATACGCATCTTTGATTTTAAGAATAGGAAAACTTTTACAACAAAGAAGCTCATTTTTTTGGGACAAATAAACTCATTATAAACACACGTATAAATTGCAAAAACCATTAGAAAGGCTGGCAAGAGTTCAAAAAGAGTTAACTTGTGACTAAAGTCAAAGAAATGATTTATTGAATTTAAGTAATAACTGGAATGAATAATGGCTAAGCAATTAAACTCCCAATTTAATGATAAAATGCCCCTTCCATCTGGTTACAGTATAGGCTGCAAATTTACTTGAAAGGCATGCAGAAGGCAGGACGTGTATGGTCCAAAAGTGATTTGCATCCCGAGTGCTGACACAAATACATTTGCACGCACATGCATTCTGCGAGATACCGAACACAAGGACATTTATGTATATACACCAAAATATATAGTAGGGGATAGAAGAAGGATCCTAGTTTGCCTTGTGTCCCCAAAATTGATCCTTTTCCCCTCTCTTGCAACCAATATAATGAAAAGCAAGAAATGGATTAGACAATATCAAAAATTTCCCATTTCTTTTCGAATTCAAAATGCAATAATACCAAACACAGATAAGCAAAAGAATGTTTTCATGAAGGGAATAAGAGTATTCAACATCCAGGCATTTAGGGAAATTCAAATTTTCTTACTATTTTGTACCTACTTGACCTAACACCCAAATTTGGAGTAACAATGGGTGTAGATAATTGTAGAGCCAAGAGGATGATTTTAGTGAAGGCAACAAAACTTGTACATTGAGGCCTTCATATGGGTAGGTTTCAACTACGAGACCCAGGTACATTCAACTTGATACAGCCCTAATTCCAACTATTGGGAACATGCGTCCATACAGTATAAAAAATATGATTATGTTGGTTATACAACTACAGCAACCCTTCATTTTAGGGCTTGGACTGGCAGTGTCAAACATGAAACAATCCACAATACATGAAGAACCAACCCCGGGTGCACTACTGTGATGTAAGAAGAAAAAAAAAATTTGAGAAATATTTCTCAAAAAATAGAAGGAAAAATCATTAAGGGCCATTTAAGAGCTCATCATTTACGCCGCATCAAAATGCATTAATAGAAGGTTGTAAAGCGATAAATTTAACAGATTGCAATAGCCCTGGCCACTGCTTTAAAGAAACTCATATATCTGGCATCTTTAACACGCTGAACAGAAAATTGATTCTGTGAATATTATGTTTTAATTACTGCTTAGTCCATCAGCTGAAAAAGTAAAACATTCTGAACATATAATAAGATGCCAAATTAAAATGATCTCATGATTCAGAATATTGGAACTGGCTATTGGAATTTAGCAGCAGAAAACAAATATCAATTGATTATCGAATATGCCCCCTCAACTCAACAAAGCCTTAAATCCCATCACTTGGGGGTGGCTGTATTGATTTCGACGAGAATGAAGCAGCACGAGGGAACATAATACAAATAAATAGTTAAAATGACTTCGAATATTCAAGGTTTTTTGCTACAAGAAAAAATATTGAAGCTTGAAAGCCAATTGTTTGAGCAGTGAACAGGCATACCTGAGTTTCCAGGTTCTCAAATTCTAGTAAAACTTCCTCTTCATCTTCTGCTGATAGTTTCTCCCCCAAAATTGCGTTAATTTCCTTTAACACAAGAATGTGCATGCATAAAGAGAGAAAAGTAAGAGCAAAGATGTGGCTTAATGGTAAAAAATGACATCATACTCATACTTCAAATTAAACCAGTAGAATACAAACAGTAGAAAAAGCACAGCACAAGAAAAGATTTAACACGTCAATGTTATCCCAGACGTCAAGAACATATGAGGAATAAACACATCAATAGTTATTAACAGAAAGGTGACTGATTCTCCTATGCAGATGGATCAAATTTTATTACAAGGACATCATGGTAACCAGGGGCGGAGCAAGAGAATTTTATTTGGAGGGGGGGGAACTAGTATTGATATGAATGGAGTATATGAAGGTGTGTGTGTGTATATATATATATATATATATATATGCAAATATATTGAGTATTGATATAAATAATGGACACTTTTTTAACTACATTTTCCCATGAAAGAAAGACTCTTTAGTGCCTCTGGGGGTGCCCCATATTACTAATAATAATGAAGGGAACCTGGATAGGGAGAACGGCCTGGCTGATGTTGACAGAGGTGGAATTTAAAAAGTAATTATGATAACCAGGGGCGGAGCGAGAAATATTTATTTGGAAGTATACTCTTTTATATATATGGCACAACCCAATTTTTATTTTTTTACCTTTTTTCAATCTAAATACCTCAATAATAAGGAATTAACTATTAACAGTGATATATGTTGTATATATATATATTTTTTTGATAAGTAAGTATATATTAACAAAGGATATATGTTGTATATGTAAATCCTAAATGTGAAAAAATGTGGAATTTGTATATGAAAAGGTATTAAAAAATAATAACAAATCCTAAATGTAGATCGATACGCTAAAATAAGAACGAAAGAAGGGCCAATGAGATATCAATAATGAATCGTAAATAGAATTCAGGTTTTTTTTTTTTTTTTTTTTTTTTTTTTTTTTTTTTTTTTTTGGGGTGGTGTGTGTGTGTGTGTGGACATGTTTTTTTTTTTTTTTCAATATATTTTTTGATTGGGTGTCCCATGAAACAAAGATTATTTATTGCTTATGGGGGCACCCCATCTTAGTGATAATAATAAAGGAGACCTGGATAGAGAGAAAGGCATGGCTGACGATGATAGAGGTGGATTTTTAAAAGTAATAATAAAAAGATTTAGTAGATTTTGAAAGGGCTACATGCAATTTTGCAAACATACCATTAAATAAGGCTTTTGAAAAACAGTAATAAATAAATAAATTGAGAGGCCATGAGGCCATTCTTTTGCAAACTTACCATGAATAAATAGGTGTTTAAAAAAATAAAAAATTGGGCGACCATCCCTACCTACCCCTTCCCCAACCCCCCGCAGGGCTCTGGCCCCTGTTGATAACAGAAATTGAAATACGATCCTCTTAATATTTAACACATTTTCACTATATAAAGAGGTTCATTAAAATAAATCATCCATAAAAATTGTAAAGGATATATGTTTATATATAATAAGTGGGAAAAACTTGCAAGCAGACCATCAAACCATGCCCTTCAGCTCCACTTAACAGATTATATTTCATAAGGGATAAACTAGCTGCCACATCTGGACTCCATCTATTATAGTACCAATCTATCACCATCTTATGGCCCAAAAGGGAGGAAGAAGAGAAGAAGAAAAATTGCTCTTAAAATGATACATGTACAACAGTTTGTGAAAACATAGGTTCACCAGATTACAGGAAATTCACCACCATAGGGTTACTCATTTTCAAGCTTGTGAAATTAGTTCAATATATGACTGCTAATACAGAAATGTCACAAGTTGTTGGTACAAAATTTTACGTTAACTGGTGACAGTGAAAAGTTTAATATGAGAGAGATATTGAGGGTCTTCCAAATAAACAAAACTCTTAAAGAAGCCATTCAAAACGATAGTCCTTGCATACAACAAACCTGAGACATTTCTAGTAGATGAAGCTGAACTTTAATATCCAGTATTTTCTCCATTTACTTTAATAACCAGTATTTTCTCCATTAACTAGAAAGAGAAGGAAATTAACTTCTATGCATCAATTATTCTAGTTGACTGACTCTTCTTATAATTCCTTTTTTAGGAGTATAAATTCAAATTTGTCGAAGGAACATTATATATAAGGTAACGTCGGCTGGATACTTGAAGCATACCAGCATTTTAGAAAATTCAAATTACTTTCCATATTAATGTTTTGACTGGATATTTACTAAGGTTTATTAGTGGCTACGTACAGAAACTATAAAGAGTGAGCCTTTCCATCTTAAATCTGCACAAGCAAGCCTGCTGAATTACAGAGTAACTAATGACTGCAATCTTACAACAGATGCACACTCTCAAAAAACACTGCAGAAAAAGACAGCGCGAGATTAGGAGGGAGAGCTGCAGAGAAGGAAGAATATAGGGAGAGGGGGAAAGGAAGAATATAAATTCTCCAGGAAAGACCTCTTCATGCTCTACACAATCTATCATTATAAACTTGTTCTATAAATATATAAATCAGTCATGATATTTATATATAATCTGTTTAAACAAAATTGCAAAATTAGATTAAGAAATTTGATTAATTTTGTACACTTGTATAACCAGGTTTTTTTTTTTTTTCCTGGCAAACTAGGGGGAGGGGGGACTCGAACACGGGCACACCCGCTCGGGGAGCTAGGCGCTCTACCAACTCGGCCACTGGGTAATGCCCGTATAATCAGTTTAATAGATATATACATGAATATAGTCCATTGTTATTCTTACTGGATTACTACTATTAAATTTGGGTTTCTTTCTCACGTTTTAGCATCACTAGTTAGTTTTAGAAGTGAATAAATCTGTTTTATTATGAAATATATTCTATTACATTGTATATAAACATCTCATTTATATATCAGTATAAAATTGTTCTAATGTACATATAGATTTGTTATTTATAGAATATATATTAATGTAAATCTCCTATATATCATAGTAATAATCTGTTAGCAGAGTTTGAGCTACTGGTTTTCCGATTTGTTGGTAAGGAACCGTGTTATGCATCGATCCTATCTCAGTGTTGCGACTTTACCACGTCTCAACCTTCATGAAGAAATCAAAAGCTGCTCTATAGGCAACGATCTGGTTGTTAGGGTTGATCATCAAAGCATCAAGGAGCGAGAATCTGCCTTGCAATCATGCCTAGTAGGTCGCTTTGACAGAGATGTGGGGAGTACTGACGGGATTGAGGCTTGGGTGTCGAAAACTTGGAGGTATCAAGCGGGGTAAAAGTTTCTCCTTTGCCCGACGATCTGCTATTATTCAGGTTTCCATCGGAAGTTGAGGCTTTAAGGGTTTTGGATGAAGGGAGGAAGAGATGGGGTGAAGCTTTGTTATCCATCGACATTTGGTACTTCGTGGCTGGATGTTCTGCTGTAAAAGAGAGAATAATACGAAGGGTGATCTTGTTTGGTTTGCCTCTCCATCTCTGGTGTAACAAGCTATTTGAAGCAATTGGGAACTTATGTGGTGGATTTCGAGGTGTCGAGGTAAACATTTCAGTGAATGGACAGAGAATCCTCCTCTATGTCTCCGTCGGAAAAGTGATACCTGAGTATGTTTTTGTTGAGGACCAACGTGTGGCTTTCAGGGTTAGGAAATCACACCTCGCATCCTTCCGAAATCCTACTATGGTCTTGGAGAAAGCCCTCACATCCTGGCTGCTGCAACTGCAGGTAGTCGCCAGAAACCACAGACCCACCAAGGCGCTGAAGGAAAGAGGCCACTGCCTTCTCACACACCAGAAGCACATAGACGAGATTCTAAGACTCGTGTCAATCAAGCCCTCAGTCTTCGCCTTTTGTTCCCTCGTAATATCCGCGCTAACGGATACCCACCACGTGGCCATAATCGTGGCACTGAAGATGATTTTTATGCTGCGGATTCAGCTGGGCCAAAATGTGGATCTACAAAGGTCTATGGGCCAAACATGACAAGTGGGCCGCTTAATCATGGCCCACAGGAGTTTAAGAGGGCTGTTCAACAGGGGCCTGTTTCCTTTCAAAACAAGCCCAGCCCACATTCTTTAAGCAACTTGAAGAGAAAGGTTTTACGGGGGCCCAATAATAAAATCTTAGTTTCTCTTATTAACTCCAAGCCCAGCCCACCTACTTCCACTGAAATAAGCCATTCACAGAGCCGTCGTTCCAACGAAACCTCTGCAACTTTCTGGAATTCACCGGAGAAGAAGAGATGGAGGGATTTATCTGTTGCCGCGGCTGGTGGAGGTCCTGTTAAGAAGGGATCGCGTCACTCTCAGTGTTGTGCAGGTATCTCATCTTCATCCCTCTCTGATTCTACACAAACGAAGGGACGAATTTTCAGATCTTCATCTCGGCACTTTCACAGTGGTGTTAGATGGTCCCGAAAAGAAAAGCAAAAGTGGACTTCTTCTCTCGTTCCAGGTATGCCTTCAGCTTCACATTCTCAGAGCTTTAATATTCCATCCTCTTCTTCTACCTTTTCTAGTGAGGTGTTGAGGAGTGTCGGCGTTGTGACTGAAGTGGAAAAGAGGTGTGGGCTATCGGTAACGGACAGTGGAAGTGGCCTTATGCATGGGCTGATTACAGAAGGAAAAGAAGATAGCGTTTCAGGTGTTTCTAGGCAGATGGAAATCACTGATTGTGCAGTCAAGAAATTTTATGAAGGGGTTACAGTTTGTGTGGGCAGAGATTTGCATTTTCAGTTATCCAATGATGAGGCTGTAGCTCTGTTCAATGAGTTTCGATTAAATGCAGCTTTGAAAGGCCTTAACTGCATGCCTTCTGCAGCGGTTGAGGGGAATGATTTTGCTACAGATGCAGATTCTTTTTATGAGAATGACATAGAGTTTGCAGAGGAGGCGGTTGATGATTCTGGACTTCTTCAATAGGTTAGTTCCAAAGAGCATGCACCCTGGATGGAGAATGGTTCTGAAATTCTAAAGGAGGACCCACTGGCCATGGCGCGACCTGATGAAGAGGTTGCTGATTTGG